CCCCCCCCTTCTCTTTCAGCAGAGACTATTTTTCTCTTCTTTTAATCCTTTGATTACCTTTTTGATGGTATACCGAGGCAACACATGTTTGTCCAACATAGAAGTGCTTGCAATATTAGAACCATCTTTATTGATGGAAGAGCAGGATGAGGTTTGAATGTTCGACCTTGCTCAAGAAAAGAAGAGACCTTGACCACTAAACGGTAGACTAGAATCATGGCCTTCTACCCATAAAGATAAGAATAAAAATAAATAATGGGTAAAAGAGATGGTACATTACTACAACACAAATTTTTAGTGATAGTCACCCAATGTGTATGTAAAGAAGCACATGATCCAACTATTTCATGACTTGCCAAGAAAATGTGTCAGAAGTTATGACCGTCAATGAGCTCAATAATAATTATAATAAACTACAATAATTAGCAAATGTAAAATCGGGAGATTAAATGATCTGAGTCAATACACATATTTTCAGCAGCAATCAACTAAGTTTTGCGTGAAATAGTTGTACCCTGCGAAGAAAAAGTGGTAGGTGTCCAAAAAGTTGTACAATGACCGTTTAAAATCAACAACATTATTCTTCTTTTCTTTTTATCCTCTGCTTTACTTTATCCAACATAAAAGTGCTTGGCTATCCTAAAAAACCATCTTTTATTCGATGGAAGAGGGAGGGATGACGTTCGAGCCCTCGCATGAGGAAGGAAGAGATCTTCACCACAACACGCTAGGCTAGCGTCTTGGCTTTTCAACCAAAGAGATAAAAGTTAAAAGTAAATAATGGAGGAAAGAACAACGGTACAACTGCTTGACAACTTTCAACAAACGTCATCGCCACAGGGTACAATAATTTCATAGAGAGTCCAGATTAATGCAACCCAGAACTTGTGTTATAGCTATTCAACATCCAAGAGCTCAAGAATTATTTTAACCAATTAAGAAATCAGAAGTTGGAACAACATAAAAATAAGTAAATGTAATATCATATTAAACATAATAATAGTAAGGGCATTAAATCACGGCACAAATTCTTACCGGTAGACACTCAAATCGTACATGAACAAACCAAACAAACTAGCACATCTGCTACACAAAATGTACGCACAACTTCTTTTATGAATTGAGAAACAGCCGCCCTACCCTTTTTGGGTGGATGTCAGGTCTATGTACATCTTCCCCCCCCCCCCCTTCTCCCAACAAACCTTACTCCCGAGGAGGACATATTGGATGTGTTTGATTCGATTTGGTTGTTGGTTTTATAGGCGATACTAATAATAACAATAATAAAGAGAGTAAATGTATAGTGGTCACACCACAAAATTTCAGTAGCATTCAAAAAAATCCAATCTGGCATGAAATAGTTGTACTTGTATGCTGAAATTCTGTAAAGTGGTTGTGTACCATATCTTTCACATAGCATTGACACAAAGTACCTGTGAAGAGCTTGTAAGCAGTAGGCACACTCCTTTTCTGGGAGACCCAAAATACGTCTGATTTTTTAAGACTATACAGCCCCGGATCAATTATAACAGGCTTGGCTCTTTGGTATCTACATGACACCAAAAAAGAGAGGATAAAAGAACAATAAAATTCTGCAGAAATAATATGAAGTATTCGGATTTTTACTTGAAAAACATGTAGAGTACTTTAATCATAAAAAGGGTAAGCAATGCACGTACTCTTTCCAACCAATGTCACTAGTATGCTCGATAAAATTTAGGTCTCGAGGAACAGTTGAAAATGTGTGAAGCAGATCTGTCAAATATATAAAACGAACGTGGGGTGAGACGATGAGGATGGAACCGTGAATAATATATGCACATTTCTTGATTCACAGGCATCGTAGAAAGATCATTCAGCTTCATAATATAGGAACAAACTAGTTACACTTTGACTTTTTAGGTTAAACAGACTTGTTTCAACAAAACTAATACATAATTCTTTATGTTTTTGAGCGAAATACGAAAAATAGAACTATATTGGTGTTAGATGTAACAAAATCATCTCAATCTTTTGGAATTTTTATGACAATAAGTTTGATCTTGGCTGTCAAAATGCGCTTAAAACTGTATCTTTAAGGGGTCAATTTAGCATGCACTCAATTAATCTTTGATGTGATGAATGATGATGAGAGCTAAAATACCAATTAAGCTTCTTCGGATGATACCGATTTAGACACCACTTAAAGAACTTCGGATGCTTGTATAATATAGACCTATATTTATTATATAGCTCATGTGGCCAGCCTTTAGATAAACCGATAAGGTAAACAAACACTTCCTTCTAGAACCCTTACAAACCGAGCAACCTTGGTGCACAAGGACCGACAAGTGGCTTTGCGGCATCTGTTTTTAACCGCAAAGGCCAAAGGCCGATAGAATCGTGAAAGACGCATATAATCAGTGCACAAGGTATAATAACTAATCCAGGGTCAGAAAATGAGGACCGAAAGGGGCATATTAACCTATTAGCTATGCATTCTTCATACTGGATGTTTTCTAGATGATTCAATTGTCAATGAACCAATAAACTGAGAGTTCCCAAAATCCATTCAAGTCGACAAGAATCAGAAGATAATGAAGAACACAAGGAAATCATCCCTACCCATTTTAGGCATTGATTTTATTGACCCTCTAAAGACAAATATTTTCTCTAATTAACGTGACAACACGAAGTTAGGCAATTGCACACATTTAGCCAATCAAAACCATGCGGCCCAATTGTTCGACAGAATTCCTAAATGAAAAAAGATGGTCAAATTATCAAACACGTACCATCTTGGGTAACTAAAGGGTAATCAGAGGCACTCAAATTGATGAACCAATCCCAATCACCACCTTCCTTCAAAAGAATCGCCGCGGCATGAAGCGTATTCGTAACCATGGTAGGTCCTCTATAAGTTACCAAATTAGACCTAGTCACCACCCTAACATTACCCACTTCTTGGAACACAGCCTCGTTGTTCACAAAATCAACAAGCGCCAATCTTTCTTCGGCCGGTGACTCAAGGTCCAGATGCACAACATATTGGTTCAATGGATGGTATAACGCCTTGAGGGTCCTCTTCAATGACTCAACATCGCCACTTGAACCAGAGATCAAGTAAGCAAGTTTCGGTACGGATGAAGCAGGTTTTGTGGGAGAGATGTACAGTTTTGATTCAACAAAAACCGGGTTCTGATGGGTTTTAGATTTTAATGTGGATTGATGAAAAGGGTTTGAAGATGAAGTGAAGAACAGAGAGAAGATGATGAGAATTGAGGAGGTGAGTAGAGACAAGATGAGAGGAAGAAACCATGCTTTCTTTTTCAATGGCTTTATGGTGGTCTCCATTGATGGAAACTTCAAGAGTTGGGATCAAATTTGTGCATTTGGAGACGAAGAATTTGAGGGTTTTCTTGAAGTCTGTTTAGTTGAGAGGATTTAATGCGATTAGGGATTTGGGAAAGTGAAGAATGGGAAAAAGGTGATCTCCTTATATGCGCAAGAGAAAGGAATCTATGGAGTTAGTGCTTATGATGTTGATTATTGCAAGAAAATGGGCACATTGTGGCCTTCGCTCAGTAGTTGAGTGTGTGTGTGAGACTGTGTGTGTTCTTTATGGGGGGTCAAGGTCAACCTCTTTACTTTTTAATTTCAAATTGTTAACTATGAATCAATTCCATTCATCATCTAATTTGATGGTCATCATTTCCCAAGTCAACTAATCTTTATTCTTAAATTCTCAAATGTAATTCAACCATTTGTCATATTTATAACAATGAAAACAACTTATAAATTGAGGGCTATATTCACATGTGAATTGTTTATGAATAATCTACATTTCAAAGTAAGAAAAAGGAAAGCTTTAAGAAGAAAATGCGTTGACTTTGAAGATTATAAGTGGCATTCAAGATGTAGTTTATGTTATTAGTGAACATAACGAGAATGACATTTGGGCAGGGGCGGATCTAAACCCTTAAGGACCAGGGGAAAGGCCCCCAGTCAAAAACCAAAAACGTTTGTTGATTAGCTTAAATTTTCTATGTTTATCCTCGTCTTACATGGTTTCCCCCTAGTTCTATATGCCCATATGCTTGCCTCCCCCAAGTCTCATCCAACATGCCCCCACTCTATTAATTTCCTGGATCCGCCACTGCATCTGGGGAATTTCGGCAAGAAACGAAGTAATCTATGATAAATAGGAGCTTACAGGTGTGGGACTTTGTGTTATAGCCACTGCTTAATTTTATCTCTTGTAGAAAATGTATTGAAGGTATTTGGTTTCTTGTTTGATTGTGATCGTATATGGTAGCAAAACGATGGATACAAGTGATCGAAGGGCTTTTATTACGTGTTAAGAACTTTGGATGTTGTTTATGTTTGATGTGGCAAAAAAATTTGTGTTGGTAATTTTAGGTCAATTATGAGATTTTTTTGTCTAATTACGAGATGTGTAACATTTTGAAACTATGTAATGTTATAACTATTTGAGGGTATAACTGTAAAATTATTGGTTTTCCTTCCTCTACCGTTTAACTCGAGAACAAGGAAAAAAAGTTAACATAAGACTTTCATTTTCTTTCCATCTTGAAACCACTACATAATTTTGGATGAGAGGCTCAAATATGCAAGTTTGAAAATCGAACAAAGGGATCACTTCACTGCCAGTACTGCCAAATTATGGGTCGAGTTTCACCCAATGCTTGGTAACCCATAACATATGCTCGGAAATGTTAAATGCAGAACAATCATCGTAACCTTGATATATATATATATATATATAACCTCTGATGTATTTTTGGGTGGTAATTAATTGAAAAAAGGATGAAAAGTAACAATATTCATTAGCAACCAATTGAGGCATTGAGCAACTTCAAATTTGAGCTTTCGTCCATCGGGCTAAAAGGGAGGGAGGGAGAGAGAATGGAAAAGAGCATAATTAAAAATTCTGTTGTTCGTTAAATAAAGTAACGTTTATTTGTAGTGACACGTCAGAATCACTGAAGTCTCACTAGATTCCTAAATTGTTTGCAAAGTTTGTGTCTAGTCCCCATAATAAAAGTTTTGAAAGATGAATCTTTGTAAAATACTGATGAACCCAAAATCGGTTAATTTCATTTTCCTACAATTTACCTAATATAAATATAGACATGCTTTAATATATAACAGAATTCAAAATACCAAAGGGTGTTTGGCTTAATGGTATCCAGGTTACCGGTAAAGTCCAACCTCTCAAAAAGTCAAATGTTCAAACATTATTAAATATGAGGAGTGTGTTTGAGTTTATTTATATACTGAAAAATACCTTTTTTTCTTAAAAGTAAAATCATAAGTAAAAAAACATTAACGAACAACCATAAATGTGAGTAGAGAGATCCACAAATTGACCGACGTTCGAGGCCGGTCCTAAAATGCTTGGTCCCGTGAGGAGTGATTCCAAACCCAGTTAAAATTGATGGTCCTGTTTTAGTGTCAACTTTTTCTTTTCAAAAGCATGGTCAGTTGGACCTATTTATTTTTATAAGGCTTGAACAAATTAAAAATCAAGTCTGAAGCTATTTAGGAATGTATTTTATCTGAATTATACCGTCGTCAATAGATCTGTTAATATAAAAAGAATATTTTAAAACATTATTAAAATTAATATGTATTATAATTGTTGATTAATGCACCAAATATTATTAAGATATTATCCAAATAAATTTAAGAAATATTTATTAGACATTAACTAAAAGATTAAATATTATACCAAATATGTTACAAAAAAAATTAAATGTTATCCCAAAAATAATTACTGAACATTAATAAATAGTTACTTAACATCATAGCAAAATGTTAAAATATAATATTAAATATAATAAAGATTACCTTCAATTTAAATAGTTAATAAATATTAAACACAAAATGATAATTAAAAGATACTTAACGATTTCCAAACCTTTTATTTAATTTCAGTCCAGTTAGGTAGGACCATAGGATCTCAATCAATCCATGTTTTTAGAAGGCTGGAAAGTGCCTTCAACCACAAGGAAGGGTGGTGTTTGATTGGTTTGAGCTTGACTCTAAAGATCAAAAGAATCAAGAGGTCTCAGGTTCAAATCCAATAAGAAATAAAAATTCCATTATGGCCACGAAGGTTCAAATGCATGAACTCCAGGCTATCTACAAAGCAGGTGGTCACCCTGGGATTAGTTGGCTCGCATAACGGCTTTGATATCCAGGTTAATAAAAAAAGGGCCTTCGAAGGACTACTGATATTGAAATCATACGATTTTTTCTTTTATATACTCTTACGTGCACTGATTAGTCTCTCGGGCGAACACGAATGTCTTGGAGTTATTGCAGGTAAACCTACATGGTCACAAGGGTAAAAGTTTCAGGTAGATGTTGTGCTTTATTGTGTGTGCAAAAGAATTTGTAAATGGCGACTTTTGAATTGGTTAATACAATTTTGTCCAGATACTGTATGTCTGTATCATATGAGAGGCAAAATCAGATATACAATAGTTGGTTAAGCAGCCGACTTAAGAGTCTAGTTCTCATACTAGAAATGTCATACTCGAATCTTCGCCTTTTTCTACAAGTTTATTATTTCAAAACTAACTGTTTTACACATTGAGACACCTCGTTTCATTGTTGAACCTATATCTATATTCTAAAGGTGATCCGGCCATGCCTAACCCAATTTTCTTTTGTCAAACATACCCATTATAACAAATTCAAGCCCTTTTGTATGGGTTTGATAATTTACCCTTACCCGACCTATAAACAGGCGGGCTTGTCCAGGAGCTAACAAGACTAAAAAAAGCGTTTAGCTTTTAAGAAAACGAAATTGTATATAAAATCACAAGTTATATAAAATAATTTAAAATACATATTAATATTTCCAACAGTAAAAATATTAAGAGGGTATTTGGGATTGCTTATTTAAAACAACTTATGTTTTTTTATAAAATTGTTTATTAACTTATGTGGTATTAAAACGGAGTTTTGTTAAAAGTGTTTGGATTAGCTTATAGCGGTACCAAACTGCAATAAGCTGATAATTTTTAATTAGTGTTTGGTAAATTTTGCTTATATCTGTAAAATGACAAAAAATAACAGTCTTCTATATTATTGACTTATAGGAGTGTTTGAGATTACTTATTAACTTATTTATTTTTTAACATATAAAATTTTTATTTTTCATTATTTATAATAATATCTATAACAAAAATTTATATCAATAAGATTAATAATTTATATCAATAAGATAAATAATTTGTATCACTTGTAATTCTTTTCTTTCTACTAGAATGAAAGCTTCATTAAGGTAACGGTAATGCCAAATGATCACTACCAGAGAGCATAACTACAAGCTTCCATATTGAAGATCAGAGCATCAAAAGGTCTTTTTTTGGTGAAAGTGTAATCAGGTATATTGTTCAGTTTGAAATGCATAAACAAATCAAAATCAAATCCTTCCAAAATATTCAAATCTCAAAATCAAAAACCAAAATCCATAATAATATCACCACCCACCAAAATCCATCAGGTTATCATCCACTATCAATTATTCAATCACCACCCACCACCATGAGAAGAACTACCCACCACCATCGAAAGCCTTTAATTGTATAATCGTATTTGTTGTGGGTTAGGGTATCTGTTGTGGGTTAGTGTATCGATCTGCTGTGTATAATCGTATATGTTGTGGGTTAGGGTAGACGATGATGTTTCTGGAGGAGAATAATCGATGAAAAGGGTAGACGACGATGATGATGATGTATCTGTTCGTGAAGATGACTGTTTTGTATGTTATGTTCGTGAAGATATCGAGTTATTCGTGAAGATGTATAGGATATCGATCTATTCGTGAAGATGTAGAGGATATCGATCTATTCGTGAAGATGATCCTCGATCTGTTCGTGAAAGATGGTTATGGAGAAGAGGATATCGATCTGTTCGTGAAGATGGTTCTGGAGAAGATATCGATCTTGTAACACCCATATTTTTACCATGAGAGATGTTACGTAATCTAAAACAGATTCTCTAAAAGCACTCCAAAAATAATGGCTAAATTAAAACTTTAAACCGTTCATAGCGGAAGACTTTAAAAGAATAAATATATAATTTAATGTCAGCCCGTCCCATACCGGGTTCCTTTACAAATTTATCTATCATAGATGATTGCACCTAAATATTGAACTTAAATGGACTAGACAAGTCTCTATGTATGTCCTTCTTTTTTCTTTGTCCAACCTGAAACCTTCTGTCCCTGAGATGCATACTATAGTCAGCTTATAAAGCTCAGTGAATTCATGGTTTGCGTGAGTAAAGATCATTGCACATCATACATTTCAACTTTCAAACTTTGTACCAAATAGTATGCATTTTCTGAAAAACATGTAACACTGAAAGAAAAGGGATCTCATAATTTGTCTGTCGGGTATGAGTCATTTAGTCACTGGCATTCCCTGAGTTGTCCGACCTGCACCTGTCTAGACACTCATTACGGGGTTGTGCCACTTGTCATGTGACTTCTTGGTCAAATGCTCACCCGCTAAAACTGATCATAAAACTTCCAAATGA